ACATAGAGAGAGAACGAACGCTTTTGTGTTGTTCATCACAGTAACTCTAAAAGAATTCATCTTGGCCCAAAATGGAATTAAATCCTGTCACATTTTTCTGCGACTTATTTATTTACAACTTCGACGTGTGGATCTCAGTCAGCCATCAGTGCCTGGATCGAACTTAATTCAATTTTGGCGTGGAAGCTCCATACAAGGACAGTGTATATCGGGATGGTAATGGTGAATTCAATCGTGGTCGTAGTTCACTCCAAGACGAATTTCGCGAAAGGTCGTCCAAAATCAATTAGTTGTTCTCGAAAACCATTGATGATGATAGCGTGACTAATATTGACAAAGATCGTCATGTGACCTTATCGTGTAGATTGAGACAACCTTACGGGCATAGGGAGACCCATTACATTCAATATTGCATGACTATTTGAACTGCTCAAAAAACAATGTTCGCAGTTGGATCCCACACATTTAGGCAATTCGCTCAAAAAAAGCTTGGTGTCGATTGAAGTCGAAAAGAAAAAGGAATGCTCAAAAAAATACGATCGCATGTGCTTTACCGAAACACGTCTATGACATCGTGACAGGTGAAGAATCGTTGGATTTACGGATATGAGCCAGAAAGTAAACAGCAGTCGAACTAGTAGATGGGTGTAATTAACAAGGATTGAGCAAAAATACACAACACCAAAGTTGTTTCGCGCAACGAAGGCACTTACCAAAGCAGAATGTCGCCTGGTTTTTCGCGAAAAACTGGACCATGATCGCAACCTTACCACTAGAAACAAACGCAGACAGTCAATTCCGAGATGGTAACACAAGATTTGTTATCGCCAAGACATGTCTTCCAAGAAATGCAGGAAAACCACGCCGAAGACGGAATCACTCTTCACCACGACAATGCGAGCTCTCACACAATTGGCTCAACACAACTTGCATTTTTGAGAGCACCCAAAAACACTAAGATTTATGAGGCTCCAGCCGCTTTTAGTCCCGTACCTTGGCCACCGAATGCTTTTTTTTATTCCCGTACGTAAAAAATAAACTGCAGAGGTCAACGTTATTTCGACACCTAGAAAGAAGCGGTTGCTAAGCGATTCAGAATGCATGTTTTGGAAATACCCTCAAGTCAGAAGTGGAGCAAAATGCTTCGACAATTGGTTAACAAACGACATGCAACAAGTGTATAAGATGTTCATGGGAATATTTTTGGAAAAACAACTAAAGTGATTTTCGAATATATTTAATATATGTTTTTGTTCTCTAATCCTTGAAATGTAAAAGCTAACCTTCGTAACACTTGATGAATGTGATTTCTACGACGTGTGTTGTAATCATAAATATCAGTATTGCATGAAAATATGTTCCGACTGTTAAGCAAGTCGGTTTTGACCAACATTACAGATTCTTAAATAAATAGGCAAGGCAATGGTAAGATTCCAAGCACAATGAAGAGAGAGGCTTGCAGGGATCACGTGGATGTCATTTTTTCATTATTCGAATAATTTTCTTTTGCAAACTAAAGGTCTAGGTACATGATGAACTTCCCCAGAATATTATGCCATATCTCAGGCAGCAATGCACATTTGTAACATACACGCAACGAGCTGCATGAAGGCTGACAGAATTTGCAAGAATTCTGAATGCATAATGGTTAGTTAGTCCAAGTACAAGCAAATTTTTTACCTCAATGACGCATGTTAACAAGATGTACGACATACCAAAATATAAAGGAACTTCTAAATTTTATAAATTAGATTTCATTTACTTGGCAAATCTGTACCGATTGTGGAGGCACAATGTACAATTGTGTCCTTTGTGATTGGACAGTCAAGATAAACCTAATTATATTGCGATGTGTCTAGCGACATCGTAAGGCTTACGAGACAGCACTCTTGTCAAGCGAATTGTGCCTCGGGCGCCCCAGCGGCCCCCTCCGGGCAATTCGCCTCGCACGTGCACAGCCATGCGGGTTACTGCCATAAAGAAATTCTTGGTCCTTCGTCGCCCCCACCCCGTACGCAACCCCATAGTCCCATTAAGGGGCCCTTCCCACGTCGCGACGACGGCGCGTAGCAGAGCATTGGTTTGAATGGAGGCCTTCCCACGTGCAGCGGGCGTGCGCATGCTAGCCACGGCTGGCAGGCGCGGTGGCAGGCCGTGGCTGCACAGCGTGGCGGCCGGCGGAAAGTGCTCTGCTCGCTTGACGGAAGCGCGCCGCAATGTGGGCAAAGGGCCCTTAGGGCGCAGGGGTAGGTTTCTCCGACCCTCCGGCGACGTCGAACAAAGGGACCGCAGCAGGTAAAACGCAACAACCGGCGGTACAGTGGGAAGGCTATCATTTAAAGCTGTGTTCTGCTAGCGGTGGCCCGTACGCCTTCCTCCGCTTCACGTAGCGAGAGTTCTTCGCCGCTTGCCGCAGCAGCGCACGCCCGCTGCTCGTGGGAAGCTCGTGCTCCATTCAAACCAATGCTCTGCTACGCGCCGCGCTGCTCGGAAGCGCACCGCCGTCGCGCCGTGGGAAGGGGCCCTTAGGCTTACCCTCGCGAGTCGCAGCTCAGAGCCGGAGAAAGCCAACCCCTTCAACCTATGTTCTCGGTGATTGACACTTTTATCACCGTGACAGTCACGTTAACAAAATCCAGTAGCACTTAGCCCTCTAATCCCTCAGGTTGTGCCATAAGTCGACATCAGAGAGACATCAGGCAGATGCGCCCCCCTCCCCAATATTTCCTCTTGACGGTCGTGGCCCCAAAAACGCGACCAATTAAAAGCTCAATAAAGTAGGTCATTACGAATTCGTAGGTCCAATTTTTTCTTCAAACTTTTGGTAGGGATAGTGCGAAATGCACCGTCGAAGATTACAAAAAAAAAAATAAAATATTTTACTGCATTTTTTGAAAAATTATATAAATGTTTTGTTTTTGTTGTTTTGTTTGTTTGTTTATATGCACATTTCTAGTGAATATATTATTGCACTTGTGAGTTGAAGTTCTTCAAATGAATTTAAATGAAGTTTTTTCGAAAACACACAATTATTGTGAAAAAGAGCTTCATATTTCCCAATTTCAGAAACGCTTAAAGGTCATTAATACAAAAACAATATTTTCTTAAAAACGGCTTTAATTTTTTTCTTTTAACTTTTGGTAGGGATTGTGCTAAATGCACTCAATAAGATGACATTAACGCCATATTACTCTATTCGTTGTTGTTTTTCTCAAAAATGTAATTTATTTTTTAAATATCTCTCACGCCGTTAATATGCGTTTCTAGCCATTTATAAACACTATTGTATTTGTGAATTAATGTGCTTCAAATGGCTTCAAATGACGATTTTTGAAAACTCAAAACTTTTATGTGAAAAAGTGCTTCAAATTTAGAATATACTACAGCGCTTAAGCGCCATTTTCTTAAAAACGGCTCCAATTGTTTCAATAAAATTGCCGTTTACGACGGGGTGTTACTATTCTTTTATATTCATAAAGTAATATTTCAGTTATTCTATTAGGAAACCGAAAAATTGAGAAAATTTCAAAAATAATGTTCATTGGACGGCGATATATGGCAGCTGGCAAGAGTATGTGACAAGATCTAAAAGTTAGACCAAACTAAAAAATAAGTAACTCGTACGAGAAAGTCTATGCCATTCTGAAGTACCCATAGTTTTAGTCTAACATGAGGTAAAAAGACTAATGCAATAATATACAAACTTGTCATATGTTAGAGAGGCATTTTTGTGTAATATTGATTATTTTTCGACTCGTGTTTAACGGCTCGAGCGCGCGTTAGCAGGAAAGCTAGGTGACCTTAAATGGCGGACTGTTACATTCAAAATATCCGTTAAGCACGAGTTGCAAAAAAAAATCAAAATTACTCAAAAAAACGTTTACCTAACACAAGAAAATGTGTACACTATTGGAGCCCTCATTTTAAGCTTATGATATATTAAAAAAGTATGTTCAGTTACATTTGAAAAAAAACAAAGTTACCTCAATATCTCGTAAAATACAAGTGACAAAATGGAAATGAATACATGTGTAAATTAGCCCCATTCTCTCACGCGCTTCTGTGAAAACTGCATTGCAATAACTTCAATCGTTCAAAAATTACAAGAGGTGCTTAAGTTATGTGACTGACCCTGTAAATTTATTTTGTTACGTTAATTTCGAAGAACTAAGAATTATGAAATATATTCAGATATATCATCTCACATTTGTTTAGTTAGTCTGTTAGTGTTCATTCTAAAGACAGCGCCATAGAAACTTATTCTCCTCTTTCGAATGGTGTCCGTGAGTTTTTAATTATTTTTTTTTTATTTTGGTACAAATCTTTATTAGGAATTAACTTAATTTCATTATTTTTGTATTTAAATCCAAATATTTTCCTTGGTACGTTTACTTTCCCGTATACGCACGTATATACAGAGTAATATAAGTATATGGAGAAAGTTGTGAAATGCTGCGCGACAAAACGGAGAATTTCGGCAGAAAAAAAATTCATTGTTCCGCCCTGATAACAAAAAGTGGATAAATACGGCTGCTAAATTAAGGAGAAAAAATCTCGAACACGTGGTGGAGCCAGAATCTTTATTTGTCGGTCCTTGATACCCAAAAATCAATTAACGGCAAAACGTCCGTCTGTGAACACTACTAGCACCTAAACCATTCGAGGACTTTTTCCAAATTGAAGAAACCCCTGTCCATCTGGATCGAGTCGAAGCTTTGGGATTTTGAAAAACATTCTTAAAATTTGGGGGAGTACTTTACATGAAGCCCTCCTTAGATTTTCAAAATTTTCGCAAAAGGGCTGCAAATTTTTGCTTTAAATTTATTTTAAGAATGGAGTAACATACACTTATAAACGTGACATAGGTCATATTTTCACGGTTAACTTTGATTTTTCGAAAATTTCAAAAGTATGATTTTTTTCGGCGTCTCCGTAAAAATACAAAATTAAAGAAAGATGTTTCCTTCAAATGAAATATGATCTGTCCATATTTACTTCTTTTGTTAAGGGCATGTACATTTATTTGAAAATTGTAGTAGATTTCGCACAATATTGCATGAAATGTGTACAATTTAAAAAAATAACAAAAACAAGATTTTCTTAAAAACGCTCCAAAATATTCCAAACAAACGGCTCCAAAGCATGAGATCCTCACCATTCTCTCCATAATACCCAACAAAATACCCTTCCTTCACGAAATTCCAACAAATTTAATAAAAACAGTAGAGCATTTTTTTAATTTGAAAAATGTCCCAAGGACTTCATGTAAAGTGTGCCCCCCACACACACACACCCAAATATCGGGTTCAAATTGATGGGCTCGCGACATCAGCCAGATCGATTGGGGAATGTCACTTTTGGAGAAAATAGGCCGAACGGTTTAGCCGCTATCGTTCACATACATTTTGCCGTCATTCGATTTTTTGGTAATGGGACGAGGTAATAGGTACGAGGACATACAAAACAAGGATTCAGGTTACTCCAGTGTCGGAGGATTTTTTCTAAATTTGGCAACCGGATTTATTCACTTTTTCGTTACGAGGGCCGTGTAACAGTTTTTCTGCCGAAAATTCGCAGTTGTTTCGCGCAACTTTGTTGTGTAGTAAAAATCCATGTTTTGTCGGCCCTTGATACCGAAAAATCGATTGTCAGCAAAACGCCTGTCTGTCCGAGGTCAACGCTAGCGCCTTAAACGATCAGCCGATTTTCTCTAAAATTAATTTTCTGCAATCGATTTGTATAGAATCGCGGTCCCTCAAATTTAACATCAATATTTTAATTTTGGAAGGTTCTTTATATGAAACCTCTGGAACATTTTCGAAATTTTGAAAAAAATGGATCCAAATTATTTTATTATCGGCTAGTGTAAAGGTAGCTTAAGAGAATAGAGCAAGTTTGATTTTTCTTGACATAAAAATGTTCAACAAATTGTACATTAACTTACTTCAAAATCTACCTGAAAGGAACAGATTTCATTAAGGGAAAAATATCTATCTTCATAATTGTAGTAGTGAAAATGGCACCTGCACCACCCTCTTAAACGTCCTCCACCCTATAAAAAAAATAATAATAAAACGATGGAGCTATTTTTTGAAAATGTCCCAGATGCCTCACATTAAGTATCCCCCAAAAGTAAAATTTAATTTGAAATTCAAGGGGCCGCGACATCAGCCAGATCGATTGGAAATATCAATTTTAGAGTAAATCAGCTGAACGGTTTAGCCACTAACGTTCACAGGCGGACAGACGTTTTGCCGTCATTCGATTTTACGGTATCAAGGACCCACAAAATATGGATTCTGGCTACACCACGTGTTAGAGGATTTTTTCGATGAATTTAGAAACTGGATTTATCTACTTTCCCAGTACCAGTGCCCTGTAATACGAGTTTTTTCTGCCCAAAGTTACCAGTATTTTCGCGCGGCATTACATAACGTTTCCTCTACTGCGTAAGCAATAGCGAGAAAGTACAAAGAACTATACGAGCATGTGTATATCCTAAAACATGTATTGTATTAACTAAGATATCACTTATAGAGAACAATACACTGCAGTGATTAAAACAAATCAAGATTTTAAACACGTTATAGATTTGAACCTCATTTAATATTTTTATGTAATCGACTTACAATCAAACGAGCCAGAGTATTTTTGTCTTTTCAAAAATATCATTATTTCTGGAACTTACAGAGGCCCATCTTTTACAAAATATGAAAATTAGACCAATCTATTTCTGAAACAAATAAATCATTTTGCCATGCCTCATTAAATGTAATATCATATTCTCAGTTGGACAGTAGAATTTTTCAGATGGAGTTTTGTATGATCTACAACATTTTGGTCTTGATCTGATGTGATGAGATTGGCACAAGTTTTTTAGTCATACTTTGGTGTTGATATATTAAACAACTTCAGAAATCATGGAAGAAATTGATTTGTTTCTTGATGGCAGAGACTGCCAT